GTCTCTTGGGATGTGAACATGTTAGGTTGCGCACTCAGCAGCTGGTGGCTAGTGTGTGGTGAAGGTTGTTGCGATTCCAGTGATGCAAACAAATCAGGTTGGCTGTGCGTACTGATAGAACGTACGTGTCCATGTGCAGGAGTGTGTTGCTGTGGAAGATACTGGGGCATTGGAATGAACATGTCCGTCTGGCTTCCAAACATCATGTGATCGTCGTTGGCCCACGCGCTGACAAAAGACATGGCACCTCCTTCAGAGCATGCTGGCGATAGGTTATCACCGAAGTTGTTTGCGACGAAAGCATCTTGATAGTGAAACTCTGGTGTGCTGGGACCAAAGTAGAAGGGATCTATTGGTTCCGGTGAACTCTCAGATGTATGGGAGGCAGTGCGTGGAATTAGATCGAACTGAGCCCCTGTGGGTCGATATGAGCCAGTAGGTGATACTTCACGTTTGATCGTTCCATCCAGATTCCGGTTTTTGCGTGGTTTGCCCAATCTGCGCGTGATGAGTGCAAGATCATATCGGATGGACAGATGAAATACCTCATAGATGGGGAATAGTTGCAGCAGATATTAATGGTGCCACATCGCTGGCAAGTTGGCCTTACTTTGTCGCACTTGACCTGCTGCTGGTTAACGGGTTGGCAACTAATATATGAATGGAGAGGCGTACTTTAGCACGAGAGCATGCGTCACATGAAGCTCTCATCTTCCGAGGCTTCTGGAGTGCTTTCGAGGCACTGGCTGCTGAAGCAGTCTCTTGGCTGAATGTGGTATCGTCCATGTCGCGTAGTGGTAGTTGATGAGGAGAGTATGCCTGAACTGGGACCTGGAGCATATGCATCGACAGCAGTGTGACTGATGGATGGCTATACCGAGCCCTTAAGTGGCATGTGGTTTTATATAGAACTATAGCTGGCAACGGAGGATGCAAGTCTTAACTAGGATGGGTACCGCAAGGATCATAGCTGGATCCAGCCTGCAGGAGGCGTACATGCGACAATCACTGGGAGGGGGGACGGTCGAGTAGCGTCAAGCTGATGCTTAGGAGTACAGGGACAGGGATTGGTGCAGCCATCGATGTCGGACGTGCTTGGATGGGGCTGAAGGCTTACATGACAAGTTCCTTGCCTCTATCAAGTCTAGTACAAATCGAGGAGCATGCGAATCCGTACGAACGCTTAGTATCGCTAGTGATGAAGACGGGAAAATGCCGCGCACACCGGAACCTGACATGGCCTCTGTGCACTCTCAGACGTGCGGCTCTTGGGGTGCTTTTGTGAATATCTCACAGCATCGGTCACATGTTGGAGCGACGGCACACAGCAAGCCAGATGTATCGTGCATTGAGGCTCGGTAGCCTGGTGCTGAGGTGGAGGGGGAAGACTTAGCCGGAGGGCATGGATAGATTACTCCCACGAGGGTTACACCGAGTGGGTCGCCGCTTAGGTATGCTGGTGCGGCGTTCCATAGTAGTATTGGCTTCGCAGCACGGCGCCAAACATTTGAATCCAGCCACGACTGCTGCATGCCACAGTCAGTCGCTCTTGATACCATCGCTCAATGGGCGCGTGGGGTTCTAGTGCTGACTTGACTTGTTTAATCCGCTACACAGAGAGAAGGGCGCTTGCCAATTATGACGGCGGAAGCAGCTGAGCGCTAGGCCTCTGACTTAACAGGCATTTGGTAAGACACTTGGTGTGCCAGGCAACGTCTGGTAGTTCCCAGGGCTGAAAGGCACGTAGGACAGGTTGCGTAGGACGGACGGTGAGGCCATGGAAGGGTTAGTCAGGATGCCTGGATCCAGGGAACCGGTCAGATGAATGAATAGCTTGATGAGTGTGCTGCTCGTCGCACACTAACCTAGACTGTGCAATTCGCGGGGTCCCACTGCGCAGGGATCTGGCAACAGGCGTCGCCAGGGTTTTTGCTCAAGCGGGCCGATCGTGCGAATGATGACTACGCGGTGCTCACAGAGCCAGTTCGTCGTCTCGAGTAGTGTTAGCCTTGCGACAGGCTGGGCCTGGTCTTCCCAATAATACGTAGTATGCAAGTGCGATGGTGGCCTCGCCGACAAAGCTCCGTTCTGGCTGCAGCGTAAGTAGACGGTGACGCGTGGTAGATACGTGCAACCTCGTGGCGGTAAGGCAGAGGCTGTGGCGAAGCCCTAGTATAGGGCTAGAGTAGCACTGTCAATCGCCACTCGACTGGCAGCACATGTAGGTCCGTGATGCGAAAAGTGCCCAGTCGATATCGTCACCTGCTCTGCGCAACAGCAAGCGGGCACTATTCAGCACACCAGGGCGTCGTGGTGGATGGAGGAACCGCATGCGCATACGCAGCCGCCCGTTCCTCTCCCGCCGTTGGCTGCGCTAATATCTGGCCACTAGCGCGACGTTACATTTGTCCCCTTCCCGCCCCTCAGGCTCCCAGGATCACGACTCGACTCGAATCAAATCCATCGCCTCAGTGCCGAACGATTCAGGAACATGCCGGCAACGTCAAGGACACGGAGCCTTTGGAACATTGCGGCCAAACGTAGTATCCAACGCGAGCGAACCATGGATCCTGCCTATCCAGGCCCGCGTGTACCTCGTACTTAGTATAAGCCGTACGTACCCCAACTCCAGCTTCCAGGCTTCATACCCTCCTCTTCTGCATCCTCTAATCCAGCAAGCATTCCAATCAGGCAAGTATAGAATGATCTGCATAATAATGAACACAGCTCGGTACATATACCCCCCTGTCACGCAATATTTCAGCCAGTCTACGGACGGCACACCGCGACATCTGATCAACGCGGGATCGAAACAAGATCCACAAGGTTGTTACAGGATATTCGTTCATGGCCTGTTTACTTTCGCATCGTCAGTCCCGTTTCACCTACTGCGTACAGAGCAAGGGGCTTTTTCGCTAGCACCTGTCAGGTGAATTCATTACTAGGGATAGGGTAGGGATGGTACATTAGATGCGTGTAAATAGAGTTCTGTTGATATCTGCCACAATCCAAGCTGTCAGTTCTCATTTCGTACTTCCCTCTATCTTGCTATAATACCGATTGCGGCAATAGACTGGGATAATTAACGCTGTTAGACACTATAAGCGCGATAAACTGGGTATCCTGGATTGAAATTTCACATGAAACTCCGTTTCGTTCAACCACATGCGTGGCTTTACCGATCGCTATTGGCTTCTAGCTATATCAACCAGTGGTTCAAATCCTAATAGGGAAATCTATGCACGTGAATTTAATTGTAACCGGAGTATTTTCAATTCCAGCCCTGACTCCAAAGTGCAACTCAAGAATTCCCATTACCTCACTGGAGCTGTTCAATCTGCGCCACGTGATCTGTCAAAACTCTAATTGTAAAAAAAATATATCTTCACCCATCATGGTCCCCACCAGAGAACTTTTCTGTACCGATCAAACTCGTCGGAAATTGTCCTAATTGGGTAAACACTTCTCGTTGAGTTATTAATCAGAAGTCAATCGTAACAATCAAACCGAATAAGCCTTAATTCGCCCGCTAAGGCTCCATTTGGCCTGGTTAGCGCGCTTTCCAGCAACTGAAACGGAGCGAAAACAGCCAAAGCCAAAAAGCCCTGGGTAGCGCGCATAGAAGACATACTAGGCATGTTAGGTACATCAAGCCAATGACTGTATCGATGCGAGCAAACTACTTGCAGCCTGCAGAATGTATTCATCGACTCCGGATACCTGTATAAATGTTACCGGGTATATCTGCGTCTCAAAATTCCCAACTCGGCCTTATCCCGTTCCTTTGCATCCGTTCGGCCCTTTCCAGCCCCTACAGCTCACGTCACGTATTCTTTTCGCGTGAGTAAGTACTGGTATACATGGGTATGTTTCTTTAGTTCAGTTTTTAATAAGCTAGTAGGCAGGGGTCTAATCAGCTAACTAGAGAGAGATAGGATGGTTTAATCACTAGTATAGAGTTGGGCCACCCTCAGCAGCAATTACAGCTTCACATCGCCTCCCTATACTATTTACTATATTATCTACCCGGGGGTACGAAAGTATTCATAGTGGGTCAAAAATCCCGTTTTAGCCGGAGGT